ATATAACCCTCCGGAGTTATTGGGTGTTTATTCCCAAACATTGTTTACCGGATGCTAAAAATATTTATATGGGTTGTTACTAGCTCAAGAGCTAGATATGGTTGCCTCTCTTGAAATTTTTTTTTGTCAAAGATTTTGTTTTTGAATTGTTGCCTTGAATTCATTATACTTCACTTATATGATGATATTTATGTGTTTGTACTTATGGATCATCTATTTGTCAATGATGATTTGATTTTACGTTTTTGGATTTAAACTTTGATTTATGATTTCTTTTGGTTGATTTGTTTTCATTTGAAAACTTTTTGCATGATTCTCATGTTCCTCTTCTTTTGATTTCATAAATCTATTCTTTTATATGGTTTTTATATTTTTTTGCTAATGAGACACTGTTTTCATATTGACATATTTATATGTGTTCTCATTATCTTCATGTATGTGAGTAAATTTTTAGCATATTCATGTATGCTTGCTCACATATGTTTTGCCATGATCTTCATTGCATATATTCCATATGGCATTTTGATAGGGGGAGCAATCCCTATACTTGCTTCATACTCACCCATGCTTATTTGTAGGGGGAGCTTTCGCTCTCTTAATTCTTTTGTCCCCTTTTTGATGTTGTCAAAGGGGGAGAAATATTGTGAGTATATCTATCTTGTTTGTTTATATGCATGTGAGTTATTATCTTGTATATGTTCATTTCCTTCATGCATATATTCCTTTTTGTAAATTGTTTGTCATCATCAAAAAGGGGGAGATTGTTGGCCTTCTTGTTTTGATGATGTTTAACAAACAATTTATTACTAATGTTGTTTGTCTAGTGTTTGTGCATTCCTATGTTTTGTAGACAAACAACGTTGTTGGAGGATGGATGGAATAGAGCTTCAACGATCATATCCAAAGGAGGTTGGCGGAATGTCGGTGAAGCCTTGCTATTCAAAGTTCAAGATCCAAGTTCAAGCTTCATCCGCAAGATTACCAAGATAGAGCTTCGTTGAAGATCAAGATTGCTTGGGTAATTTAGTTTAGGAATTTATATTATGTGTGTTAGTACTTTAAGCTCAATCATATACACACATACACGTTTTGGTTTTTGTATATATATAGTTATATATATACATATATGTTTTGGTTTGATAGTTTTCAAGTTTTACTATGAAACAAATGAATAGAATTGGAAAATACTATTTTGTTTCATGTTTATATGCCTATATATGATTTCATCTTTAACAAGCTTATATTTAATGAAATCATATTTAGTGTTTTGAATATATTGCATAGAATATGCAATTTTATGAAAATATTGTATTTCTAGGTTATAGACTTCCTAACAACATGTTATATCTTTTATCAAGTCTATACAATCATTTCATAAGGTTTCAAAATGTTGTTTAAGTCAAAATATCAAAATATCAATTTTCAGGTTTTCATGTTTTGGACTATTTTGTAAAATGATGATATTTTTTATTTGGGAAGTCCTTTTTCGAAACCAGTCATTGTAGCATGTTTATTATCATGTCTACAATCATTCCCCAAAGTTTTACATTTTTCTGAATTTATTTGATATTTTTAAACAGGGTTTTAAAATCAGCAAAACAGTTTTTGAATATGTCAGATTTCGGTCGACCGCACCGGTCGACCGAACCTGAGTTCATATGTTCACTGGGCGACAGAGAGTCTGTCGGTCGACCGGTCCGGTCGACCGAAAAACTCCATCGGTCGACCGCACCGGTCGACCGACGATGGTCCAGAATGTTTTCTTCGTGTTTTTGCTCTCATCGGTCGACCGACGGGATTTTCGGTCGACCGACAATATAGCCGTTGCTTTTTAACGGCTCTTTCTCTGAGCTGTTTGCTGGGGTTTTTGGTCATTTCGTTTTGGGGTTTTTTGGCTGAGCTTTGAGTGGGTATATATACCCCATTGCTGATGTCTTTTAAAGTTATCCAAGAGAGTTTTAAAACAAGTTTAAGAAAGTTTTAACAAGGGTTTATGTTTGGTTTAAGTTTGTTTAAAAAGCTTTTAAGCAATTGAGTGTTTCGGTTTTGTGATTCAATTCAACAAGAGCTTGAGGAGATCATCTATTGGTGTTTGGGCATTCAACTATTCTCCCTCCAACTCTTGATATATTGAGAAGTTTTCTAAACTCTATTTCTAGCTTTTTTATATATTTGATTATCATTGTTATTAAGCTAGAACTACATTGAGTTTAGTTTTGATTTATATCTCTTTGTTCACACACAACCTTTTGAGCTTATTGTATTTACATTCATAGTATAATTTGGGGTTGTGGGTTTGTGACTAAGAGTTGTGCTTAATTGAGTTCTCACCTTGTTTTGAGAACAATCATTTGTCATATTTGTGCTTATTGTGAGAATCACTTTGTAATACACTTGTACACCGAGTGAGGAGTGTGTGGTGAGAGTCGGGGATCGTCCCAAGAGGAGTGGCGTCGGTTGACGTGCCTAGGGAGAGGTTGTAACCGAGCACTTGAGGGAGACACGGCTAGGTCCAACACTTAGTGGGTGTAGAGTGTGATTGCAAGAGTGTGAGTTGTAGAGTTTTCGGTTAGCTAGAAAACCGAGTGTGTAGAAGAAGTTCCGGCTTCCAAACCGGATTGTGTTAGTGGATTTCTCCCCGGGAGTGGGGAGCGGAGACGTAGGACGGAAGGTCCGAACTCCGTGATCATATTGCTTGTTTGAGTTTGTCTTTGGCGTAGTTGTTTTTGCATTTATCTTATATCGCCAATTGTGCATTACTCATCCTTTTTATGATCCACTATCTAGTTTATATTGTTTACCCTTGTGTTAGTTTATATATCCTTGCATATATATTTTGCTATATATCTCTTTGCTAGGATATATCATATTGTATATTGCTTATTCTAGCTCATATATATTATTGCATTTCATACTTGCTAGGATAACTTGTTAATTAGTTTTAATTGGCATTTAATCGGATTAGATTAGCATAAGACCCTAATCACCCCCCTCTAGGGTCTAACACGGGTCTGCGCGGTCTGACCCGCGCGGACGCGGGTCGGCGCGGGTCGGCTCGTGCTGTCCCGCCGTCGCGCGGGTCGGTTCGGTACTTGGGCATTCGTTCCGTCTTTTTTGTTTTGTGTATTCGGTCGTCTTGTTGACTTGTACGCTTCGCTAACTTGCTTCATGCACTAGTTAGCTTCTTTACGGTATTCGGAGCTGACCGACAAGCACGTCGGGCACTTTGGATCTGATCGACAAGCGCGTCGGGCACTTTGGATCTGACCGACAAGCACGGCGGGCATTTTGGATCTGACCGACAAGCGCGTCGGGCACTTTGGATCTGACCGACAAGCGTGTCAGGCACTTTGGATCTGACTGATGCGCTACGGGCACTTTGGATTTGACCGACAAGCGTGGTGGGCACTTTGGATCTGACCGATGCGCGCGAGCTGACTGGCGAGCGCGCGTTGACTAACGTGCGCGAGCTGACTGATGCACGCGGACTGGCCGACAGGTGTTACTGCCAATTGGAGGCCGGTGAGCGCACGAGACACAGTTGGTTCGCCATTCTGGTTCATGCATTTTTCAGCATCAGATAATCGTCTTAGACTCGGATAAGAACGTCCATCATCTTCTCTCCATCTCGAGCTGTGTGTGGACACCTATAGGTATTTTTAGACGCCTACAACAGCGGTCTGTCACCATTCATTGTGATAGCATGAGTGCTAACTATTTGGCGAAGAATCAAGTTTTCCATGCGAGGACGAAGCACATTGACGTTTGCTATCACTTCGTCCGGGATGTTCTTGAAAATGGTGATGTGGAGCTTGTGAAGGTCCATACCAAAGACAATCCAGCAGATATGCTCACGAAGGTGGTCTATAGCAGCAAGTGCAATCACTGTAGAAATGTGATGCATATTTGTGCTTGTTGAGGCATGTTGAGGCCATTTGGAGGAACTACTGGCGACTTGATCCCTTGGGAGATGAGGTACGTAGGCAACCACATTGGTGTAGCCGGATTTAGAGAGACGACACATTAGTGTTCTTGTGTTGGCTCAGTTTTTTTTGGGAACACTTCGCCGAGTTGGAGAATTATTGAAAGATTGGTGAAGTACAGAGAAAACTACTCTGGTCGGTCGACTGATGAATTTGATCAGTCGACCGAAAATCATGCACAGCAGGTACATGAATCTCTCTGGTCGGTTGACCGATGGAGAATATCGATCGACTGATCAGAAATCTATTTCCTATTCTGTTTTGGATTCCGTTTTGGAGTTAGGATATAAAGGAACATTTTTTATTAGGGTTTTTTATCAGAGAAAAAGAATTTTGAGAGAAGATTGAGCACTTTGAGAGGTAGATTCTTTGAAGGTGAGTGAGATCTTGTTGGTGAGGGTTATTTTGATTGTTTGAGAGTTGTAATCCATTGTATTTCTCCTCCATATAGTGAAATCTCTCCATCCTCTCCCCGTGGACGTAGACATCTTGCCAAACCACGTAATTCTCTGTGTTTGCGATTGATCTTGGCCGTTTTGGATTGTGGATTATGCTCGTTGTGTTCTTTGTGCATTGCTTACCAACTTGTTGTGGATTGAGTCCGCTTCCGCTGGACGCAACATAGTATGCAGTCATTCGTTGTAGCAAAAGAGTGATATAGAGTCCTTAAATGAGAAAATGTTGTGTGCTTTAAGGGTTAATATCCTTATTCGGCAAGCTTATTTTGAACCTATAAACTCCATATGGAAAATGGTGTGTGCTTTAAGGGTTAATATCCTTATTCGGCAAGCTTATTTTGAACCTATAAACAGTGAGACAGAGACCTCAAAGAAACTCGAGCGCTGAATAAAAAGATTATTCCAGTGGAATCTTTCTTGAAGGTAATGACAAAATCCATTGGTATAGAAAAATCAATCGTGTTCTGGTGGGACACACAGTGTAAATATTTCAATGTCGAGAATTTGGAAATTTAGATTTGTGACTTAGTCCTATCTACAATTGGTCAACATAAGCCGTGGAGAATTAGTCGATGGTTATGCAATTGCTAGCCTTATCTACGGGAGACTCTACAATAAAAGATGAGAGTTAGATTCCCTCACCATAGGAAAATGAGACCTTGGGCGTTCTTCTTGTTTCGGCTGCAGCTGATCATTGTTGCGGTTGCAGCATCAGCAGCAACTAACTGCCAAACTCAATGCGGCAATATCACCATTCCCTATCCTTTCGGCATCGGTCATCCTGCCTGCTACCGTCCCGGATTCAACCTCACCTGCAACCACTCCTCCACCTCCGGCCCCAAACTCTACCTAGGCGACGGCACATTTGAAGCGACCGAAATATTGATATCGCATGGGCAGGTCCTAATCAAGAGCCCCATACTACGATTGTTCTGTGATCCTGGAGAAACTGTCCAGGACTCGTATAATATGACATGGAGCGGTATCGGGGATAATGGGCCCTTCACCTTCTCTGCTGACCGCAACGCCTTTGTCACCATCGGCTGCAGTGTCATATCGTACGTCACGTCCCTCAGTCGTCCTCCTTCCGTCACCAACCTGTGTGCCGCTGTTTGTTTTGATTACACCAGCGTCGAGAGAATAAATGGTTCTTGCTCAGGGATGGGATGCTGCCAGACAATGATTGGGGATAGTGTTAGTGAGAATTGATTCGCAAAATTTGTTTCTGCAATCTTACAAAAGTTGTCTCACAGAGAATTGCTTTACAATTCCAGATTTGCTTTCTGAAATTTTTATTTTTTTTTTGTTGTATCCTAGGAGGAGAATTTGCTTAACCCGAAACAAACTTAGATTACCAAGTTGGCGAATATATCCTTAAGGAAACAATTCTTTATGCCTCAGAAGTTCCATCTCCTGTACTCTCTATTTTCATAACAGGTAGCGCCTAGTGATATTGGATCATGCACCAAGTCATTCTTGGTCGATCGCCAATGGTTCAGGTTCAATCCGATACAACTGGCTGATGACAAATTTTTCAGCAAGGACTACAAGGTACCGGTGGTCGTTGATTGGGCGATCCCCTGGGAGTCTGCGGACAACAGATCATGGTCTTGTGCGTATGCAGCAAGGAATCAGACAAGTTATGCATGTCGAAGCAAGCAAAGCCTATGTGTTGATGGTGATACTGGATATACCTGTGAATGTTTATCTGGATTTGAGGGAAACCCATATATTGCTAATGGGTGTCGAGGTATTTTTTCCCCCCTCTGGCAATTCTAGATGTCAGGTAATGAAACGCACAAAATGCGGAAGAGATAAAATTTTCATATCAAAGATCATTTGAATGCTTGAACCGATCACAAAAAATAAAATAAAAAAAGATTTATGTGGTTCGAAGATGTGCCCAAGTGAGAAGGGAGAGATCACTACTAACTTTAAAAAATATCACAATTGCAAATCCTTATGAGAGTAATTCTTTCACTCTCTCTTTCTTTTTGGCCTCAATTCTCTGCCTCCAGTATTGCCCATATACGAAGGAAAACACACACACACACAATAGTTCCCAACAAATCCTGAAGCATCAGTATCCTAAACAAATCAGTACTTGAGAAGTGACCTGACCAAATCTGATCAGCTGGCTGACCGGTTGGCTAATTGGTCCCCTCGAGCAGTTGGCTCGGTCGATTCCCCCAGTTCTTGGGTGGTTGAATGATCAGTCGACTCCTCTGGTGTTGAAACTCCGAAATACAAACCATAATCAACATAAAACCCAGACCCGCTGCTCGCTGGTCTAGGTCTGACAGTTTTTGTGCTTTCCCATGACAGAAAGCCCGATAAGTTGGGTATAATTGACAAATTGTACTCTATAACAGAACCATAATAAGTCTTTGTAGAATCTTTTCAGTTATCTCAGTAAATAACATCAGGTTCTCAATGATGAATCAGATATCGATGAGTGTGCACAAGATAAAAATCCTTGTGCAGTGGCATTGTGCACAAACACTCTTGGGAGCTACTCATGCCACTGCCCAAAAGGCACATTTAGCAGGGTTGATGGGGATCCGAGTTCTGGATGTTTACCTGATAAATCCGGAATCAATATAGGTGAACAGCATACCCGTTCATTTTCATGACATAAATACTCTCTCTTTCGTGATGTTATAAAGATTTCAAACAATTTCCCCCTGTAGGTATCATCATTGGAATTGGTGCTGCATCAGGATTTAGCATTCTTAGTCTAGCCATTGCTAGTTTTCTCCTCTACAAAAGGTTTCAGCAAATAAACAGCAAGAAACACAGAGAAATGTGCTTTCGTAGAAATCACGGCTTGTTGCTTCAGCAACTTCTTATTAGTACGGAAAACGATGTGGAGAGGACAAAGATCTTTACTTTAGAGGAGCTAAACAAGGCAACTAACAGTTTCGAACCTACCAGAGTTCTCGGTCGCGGAGGCCACGGTACAGTCTACAAAGGAATCTTATCTGACCAAAGAGTTGTTGCGGTTAAAAAGTCTGAAATAAACAACCAGACTGAGATCAAGCAGTTTATAAATGAGGTCGCTATTTTGTCACAACTTAACCACAGGAACATAGTCAAGCTTTTTGGGTGTTGCCTTGAATCTGAAGTTCCTTTACTAGTCTATGAGTTCATTTCTGGAGGAACACTTTCTGACCATTTGCATGTCATTGGAAATCACGTTTCATCATTATCTTTCGAGGATCGTCTAAGGATAGCAACAGAGATCGCTGGAGCTCTTTATTATTTGCATTCTGCGGCCTCTATATCCATTTTTCATCGAGATATTAAGTCATCTAATATACTTCTTGATCATAATCTTACGGTGAAAATATCTGATTTTGGCACATCTAGGTCCATTCCATCTGATAGGACACGGGTAACCACCGCAGTTCAAGGAACCTTTGGATATTTGGATCCTGAATACTACTATACAGGACAACTAACCGAGAAAAGTGATGTTTACAGTTTTGGTGTAATTCTCGTAGAGCTTCTAACGGGGGAGAGAATAATTTCTAAAACTATGCTAAAACAGGAGAAAAATCTCGCCATGCATTTCATTGAGTCATTGGAGGAGAAGCAACTGTTTCAAATTCTGGATGTTAGAATCGCAGAAGAGGGAAGAAAGGAGGAGTTAGAAGCAATTGCCATACTTGCAGGGGCATGCTTAAGGATCAGAGGAGAAGAAAGGCCAACGATGAAGACAGTTGAGCTAAAGCTTAACAGAATGATTCAGAAAAAGAAACAGAAATATTCCTCATCTGCATCACAACAGCAGAAATCTGAAGAATGTGATAGGTTTATTTCCAACATATCTGGTGGAAGTAGGATCAATGGTACAACTAGGTCCTACAGTTTAGAAGAAGAACTCAGGATGTCCTTAAATTACCCAAGATGATGCTCAATTGTCAATATTTTCAGACTACATATTAGCCATTTGTATATAGTAATTCGAATCTCCCTTTTCCAAAATATCGAGGGGACATGAAGCATATGTCGAGGACTGTCTAGAATCAAATACTCTGATTTTCTCTGTTTTTCTTTTCAGTTAGAAGATCAAGAAGCAATATATTTTTATTAAATGAAGCAATCACCTCTTAACTTCAAGGATCAAGTTCATTATCGTATATGGACAATGAGAAGCAAAGACTTGTGCAATGCACGGATAAAAACAACAGAAAAATCTCTGGAAACGACCGTTACAAAGAAAGAGATTGCTATTTCCAAATGAACTAAATTCGAACAAACATACCTCAGTGCTTTTTTCAGATTTTCTGTGACTATGATGGCAGGAAAGTTTCACTTCCAGTCCCCAGCATAATCTTTCACTAAGCATTATCTCCAATTTCTTGAGAATTCAGAAGTCAAAATGCAACTTTATTTAGTATGTGACTGCAAATATAAATGAAAAGCATGGTACACAGTTCTCAAACAATTTGAAGATTCCAGTTTCAATAACAATTTTAGGGATTCACCATAGTAGTGTCCATTCTGTTCCTCAGATTACCTCCCAGCTAAATGTAATCCATATATGAGGTGTAGAGGGTTTGAAATCTCATGTACCATGGAGTTAAGGATCTGCGTTTGCTTCTAACAGAGGATATCTTGAAAATATCACTTTGATAATACATCTTAGAAGACGGCGCTCAGTTTATAAACTTCATTAGTCATTAGTAATTCATCACTAAAAGGGAGAATAATGTACTTTCCCATTTGAAAAATCGACATGTAAAGGGTAAGGTTGGGCTGGGTAAGGTTAGGCTGCATTTCATATAAAAGACGATTTCTATAGAAAGTTTAACAAAGTAAAGACAGCGAACACTTGAATTTTAACTGATATACATAACAGAATTATGGCAACTTATTAGAAATTGGTCACTCTCTGATACCATGAAGCTTACTCGAAATACATACTTGGAGACCTCCTCAGGTGAGTAAGCATCAGGCACAATCTTATTGTACCCAACTGTCCCTATATCATATATACAGAAATATAGTCACCATCGTTAAGCAGGAGATAAAGTGTTTGCAATGTCAATAACGAATCGGTATCGAACGTCGCCCTTGGCAAGTCGCTCAAATGCTGTGTTCACGTAATCCATGGAAACCACCTCAACCTCTGCAGTTATATTGTGCTCCCCAGCAAAGTCTATCATCTCCTGGGCATCTCTCATTCCACCAATATAACTTCCCGCAAGAGTCCTCCCCCCTGTAAAATATAAAACAAAGAGATTCAGACGTTGTTTTGGCATGCTGCTATTATTAAATGTTGCAAATGTTGCATGTAGAAAAATGTATCAAATGTTGCAGAAAATGTGGCAGAAAACTGGACTTAGACCTGTTGTGGTATCTGTGCTTGTATCGCATGAGATGTATTTCTAAATGCAAATCCAGTGTTTAGATTTGCATCTTTATTACATGAAACATATTTTCATTGCAAAGCAAGTGTTTTTTTAGCTGCAATTGTAATACACGTTTTATGAGTTGCATTCCACTAAATTAATGATATGACATCAATTTTTTTTAATTTAGCGCAAAGATTGTGGTTTGCTGCAGCCAAAAGGATTATGCCAACTGCTACTGTTCGTTTCTACAACATATGAAATTTGACTGCAGTACTTGATGTTGCAGTTCTATTTGCTATCAATCAAACAACCCTTTAAGGAATCAGGTAAAACTGGAATAAGACATAAGCTTTTGATTTACCTTGGATCAAAACTGGAATAAGACATAAGCTTTTGATTTACCTTGGATCAAGGAAAAAGCAGGAACTTCCAATGGTTTGTTTGGCAGGCCCACATTTATCATCTTTCCACGTGTTTTCAGTAATGCTAGCAATGGAGTGATGGGGTGGTTAGCTGAAACTGTATCAATGATACCATCCATGGTTCTCATGGCAGCCTAAAACCAAAAAAGGAAAATGGAGAAAACATCAGTAGTAAATAACTATGCCAACATTTTATATCGAGTGAAGTTTACCATTACTGCTTAAATGCAACAAGTGTACATATATCACTCAGAAAGGCAAAATACCATGCCATGTCATATATCGAGTGTACATATATCGAGTGAAGTTTATATCGAGTTGTTTCTTTATGTATGTTTAGTCCCACATTGGGTTTTTTTTAAGAAGTAATCAGAGAGGATACTTAGTTCTCTCTCTTGGATGTTATTTATAATATTATAAATACAAAGAGACTGGTCCCCAACCAATGTGGGACTAAATATACATAAAGAAACAACTCTCAACACAAGACTTGTTAGATGTATCTGAAAATCTATACAAGTGAATGTATTTAATATGTTTTATTGAAGCAATGCTCAGAAGTATGTAAAGATGATTAGACTTAGAATACGGTCCACAATGTAATGGATCAAAGAAAGGATAAACTTCACAACATGAACTTGGGGGGGTTTTGAAGAAACTTACCATTAACTTTTTGACTAGAGAAACTATCATGAAGTTTCAAAACTGTGGAAAATACTAGGAACTTGTTGTTAATAGTATTACTGTCTTGGACAAAAGGTCTAAAGTACCCTTTATATCTATCAAACCACAATGTTCATTAGGATAATCTAGAAGATATATAAAGTATATCCAAAGAAAATTGTCGAAAACATATTCACATGCTTCCAGTTACCTTAACTGACATCAAACTTTTTCATGATAGCTATGAAAATATTCCATGGTAGTTTTATCTCATAAAAAGTTACAGTAGCTTTGTGTAAAACACCTGAAAGTGTATCATAGCTTTATGAAACTTACCTTAATAACCCTCTATTTCTATCAGCTTAAGTATAATTGTTTCTACCTTGATTTGTTCTGGATTACGACTGACTAAAAACGCATCGGCTCCCAAATGTTCAACCGCTTCCTTCTCCTTCTTTGGTGATGTGCTGATCACTGTAACTTTCATACCAAACGCCTTTCCAAACTTCACAGCAACATGTCCAAGCCCTCCAAGCCCAACAACCCCAAGATGTTTTCCTGCCTTATTAAGCCCAAAATACTTCATTGGACTGTACACTGTAATACCTGCACATAACAAAGGTGCAGCCTTTTCTAGCGCCAAGTTTTCCGGAAGGCGAACTGCAAAATGCTCATCGACGACTAAATTATCCGCGAATCCTCCATATGTTATCTTTCCGTCATTGTAGATGCCGTTGGAAGTGGGTACTATCTCGGTACAGTAGTTTTCAAAACCCTCTGCGCAACTATAACATGCATTGCACGAGCCAACCATGTACCCTACACCAATCTTGTCACCACATTTAAACTTGTGGACATTGGATCCCGCTTTGGTCACAGTACCAACAATCTCATGCCTACAAGGAACAGAAGGGAAAAAGAAAAAAAGAAAGAAAAGCTAAATTAATAAGCTATAAAATCAAGCGTAGGTAGTAGTGGTTCATGTAAACCCTCTTGCACTGGCAAATGAAAAAGGCTGAATATACTACTTTCTATCCTCTTTTTCGCAATGTCTTACTTTTCATCCAATGGAGAAGAAATGGACTGTTGACATATTAGTATTATTAGGGACTTATTTGTAAGTTTTGTAGGGGCCTATATAAAGCCCAAGAGATCTCATAATGAATTAGGGTTTTCACATTCTATATGGTATCAGAGCCACCAAAACCCTAGCCGCCGCCGCCCC